TTTATCTTATTGCCTTCTTGCCTGCATGCTTCTATTGAGAAACGGATCTTAATCTTACTGCTTCCCCTTTGGTTGTTTGTTTGTTTAAATTTATTTTTTGTGTGTACCGTCGAATCAGATCTGACTGGTACAGGAGGAGATTGCTCCTCCTTCTCGAGCAGAGCATCTGGTGGAATCGAACCACATAACTCTGGGATTGCAGTGCAGCTTCTTGCCACTACGCTACCAGAGCTCCACTGCTTCCCCTTTGTAAGTGAATCTTCCTTTTGAGTTGCTTACAGTGTTCTTTCTTTGTCTAATTTTGGAAAATTTTATTATGTCTTGGTGTTTTCCTTTCAGGATCTCTCCCATTGAGGTTTGCTTACCTTCTTTAATTTTCTTGTTTTTCATAATGTTTTGTAAATTTTTAAGCAGCAAATCTTAAATTATTTCCTCTGTGTTTTTTCTGTTGTTCTGTTGCTTCCTAGTCTGGGATTCCAATCACACATAAGTTATTCTTTTTGAGGTTATCCCACACACTTCTTTGGCTTTCTTACTATTTCCCCCTTTTTTCTGATTGATCTTCTAACAGATTAGAATTGAGGAGTTTGTCCTCCAGTGTTCTAATTCTGTGTTCCATTTCCACAGTTCTGCTATTTGGTCCTTCTAATGTAATGACATACTTTGGACATGTTGCAAGGAGGGACCAGTCCTTGGAGAGAGACATCATGCTTGGGAGGGTGGAGGGACAACTCAAGAAAGGAAGACCTTCAATCAGGTGGATTGATTCAGTGACTGGGGTAATGGGGATGGACGTGTCAGAGACAACAAGATTGGCAAGGCATAGAGCAGGGTTTAGGGCTGTTGTACATAGGGTCACTACAACAACACATAACAACAATATTATTTATTTCTGCCCTTTTTATCTAAATATTCAGAGTTTCACTTTGCTGATTTTTTTATTGCCTCTAATTCTCTATTTGTTTCTATCTCTTTGATCTTGCACAGTTATTTTCATTCTTCTATGTTTTCTGTGTTTTTTTCTCAATCAGTAAAAGGCACTTAGGTAACATTCTATTTTATTCCTTTTCAGGAAGTTCCAATAGAGACTTTCTTCCTCTGAAATATTTTCTTGTCTGTATTTTGGTCACTTACTTGTCCCTGGTTATTCTGGGTTGTTTCAGTGGCTGTTCTGATTTTGGTTTGGGGGTTTGATAATCTGGGGTTTTGTTCGTGGTGCTGGTGACTGGTTGGTTTGAGGGTATCTCTTGCTTTCTAGATATTGTAGAATTGTTGTCTTTCTAGGTTAAATCTGACCTAGAAGTGTCTGTCAAGGAGTAGGACACCAAACCTCTGACAGAGTGTTCTACTGGTCTGGATTGTTGTTGTTGTTCTATGCTGTCAAGTCAGAACCAACTCATAGATGATTCTTCAGAAGATTTTCATAGGCAGTAAATCACATGGGAGGAAATGGCCCATCCTTCTCCCATGACTGGTCTCAGAGGAGCCTCAAATAGTCCACCATGGCTAAGGATCATGCTTTTGCCATTCTAGGGAGTGAGTATTAGGGAAATAGACAGTCAGATATGACTATCATAAAGTGATAATCACTGCTGACCTGAAATCCCCAAGGATTGAGCCCTTAGTGAAAATCAATCACAGAAGACTCTGTGGATCACAATGATCTGATCTAAATCATGGGGGTAATATAGGACTGGGGAGTTGTTTGTTGTGTACGGGTCACTATGAGTGAAGAGTAGCTCACAAAAACAATGTATTGTTGGTGTTGCTGGTGTTGTATACTGTAGAGTCAGAACAGACCCATAGCTGATCTTCCAGCAGATTTTTCAGACCATTAATCGCATAGAATAAGTATTGCCCATCCTTCTGCCATAGAGCAGCTGGTAGCCTTGAACCACGTCGTGCCTTTGGGATTGCAGCACAGCTTCTTGACAAGAGTAGTAGCTCCCAAAAAGAGTAGCTCACAACAACAATGTAGAGAGTATTAATTGATTTTCAAACATTAAACCAACTACATGGAATTTATTCCATGGGATACAGAATTTAACATTTTAACATCAATCACGGTGTAATATCCTCTTTTATATTATTGGATTTGATTTACTAATTTTTTTTTCTTTTCAATTAAAAAAAACAACAAAAAATTCAACTTGGGTTATAAACTTATGCCAATACTAAAATGGAGTTATGTGGCCACTATTAGACTGCTTTAATTATACACACCAAGTACCTCTACTTTTAAGCTTTAATGCACTGGTTATACTGGTTTGTTAGTTTTTTTATTATTCAAAGTGTGTGTGTGTATGTATATAATATAGGACTTAATTTCTTACATATTTACCATTGCTGTTTTAATTTTGCCTTTTCAGGTTTTGACGGCTGTTTACAGCTCTTAAATTCTACTGATACACACGCTTTTAAGTGTTTTTGTTTCAGCACATTCCAATTGCACGGTCTATCTCCTAGTCTGACTTCTTAATTAGAAACTGAAAATGAAGCTAAAAAAGAGCAGACAGTAATAGCAGAGAATTTCTCACGTGTAGTCTATTAAATAAAATAGAAATGAAAAGGAGTGAAGGTGCAGGATTGGGGTAAGGGATGGTTGAAGGTAAATTCCAAGTCTTTCGAGAGCTCTTAGTGATACCCAGAAACATAAGAACTAGGTGCCCAGGATTAAAGCACTTTATTTCCCAATGACAGAAAATTGAGATTAAAGACTTGAGAGCTTTATATTCTCCTAAAAATCTAGATTTCTGGAATCCCTGACATGATCCACCCAGGCCATTGCCTTGTGGTGATCTTCTGAACTTTGAGCCTTGAGCAGACTGGTCTCCTGTATGTCACTTTTCTTTTTTTTTTCTTTTTTTAAAATTTTTTTATTAATTATAATAAAAGTTTACAGAGACTTTGGATTTCCATTCATTCATTGTTGCACTTTTCTCCCTACCCATTCCCCCACCCCAATTCGCTCTTCTCTTTGAAAAGTAAAATTCTTTCCTTTTTATGCAATCCCTCCCCCGAAGTCCACTCTACTGTGCAGTCTTTGTTCTGGACTCATGTTATGGCAATAATACCCTATCACATATCCCTTTTAAAGTCACTTTTAAGTCAAACAATAGTCAAAGTCATGCTAAATATTAAAGACTGTTTGCCCTGGGAATTATGCTATTTTGAGGAATTATCTGTTGTTAGTACATGCTCTTGAATCAGCTCCAACTCACAGTGATCCTAAGTGCAGCAGAACGAACGCCTGCCTATCCTGCAACATCTTCACAACCTCTGCTGTGCTTAAGCCCGTTGATTCAGTTACTGTGTCACAGAGGATCTTTCTCTCCTTTGCTGATGTTCCACTTTTCCAGGCATGATGTCCTCTTCCAGGTACTGGCCCCTCCTGACAACATGCCCAAAGTTTGTGAGGTGAAGTGTCACCGTCTTTGCCTCTAAGGAACATCCCAGCTGCACATCTTCCAAGACAGATTTGTTCATTCTTTCAGTTTTCCGTGGATATGCAGTACTCTTCTCCAACATCACAGTTTAAAGACATCCATTTTTCTGTCTTTTTCATTGTCCAACTTTCAGATACATAAGAAAAAGTTGAAAATATCATTGTTTGGGTCAGGGGCACCTTGAAATGGCATCTCTGCTCTTTAATATTTTGAAGAGGTCCTTGGAAACAGATGTGTCCAATACGGTAAATAATTTTCTCTATTGACTGCTTTTCCAAAGATTTTGAGTGTGGATGCAAGTAAAATGAAATCACTGACAACTTCAATGTCTTACCTGCAGTGAATTTTAAGAAACATAAACTCCAGGGTCTGATTGGAAATTGTATTTTAGGGTATGCTGTTATTTTATAAATGTCTGTCCCCCAAACATTTTTATAGCAATGTCAGCAAGATGAGATATAAGAATCTTTAGGAAATCACTCATCTTTGAAACATTATTGACTGCCTAGGCAAAATGTTATCCCAATTTGTAAATTAGACCTTAAATAAACTTCTATGAATTTCTGTTATCAACTTAATATAAATTTTTGTTTTAAGAGAAAGCAACCTTATTTTTCCTAAATAAGTATCTCAGTGCCTTAGCATGTGGGTGAGAACTTTGCCCACCAGTGCTATTTCACCATAATTCCCATCTTCTTCTGCACAAATTGCTTTCCAGATTATTTAGTCTGAAATACACAGAAATTCCTTCCACAAACTGTCATCAGATGATATCCTCATTGAAGAAACAAACTATTTATTTCTATTTTGGAAAAAATATGTTTCCTCAGCAAATATAAGTTCCTTTATTAATGAACAATAGCAGTATTAACATATGCATATTAGTATCAATATTATTTTATAACTAACAACCTTGTATTAGACTAAGGTATTAAATTTGTAGGGCAGTGAAGAAGAGTAGAAAAATAGGAGATTCAGAATTTGAATCCTATCTCTGTGACAATGAACGAGTTAATGAAACCTCTCCCTGACACAGCTTCCTCATCTGTAAAATAAGAAGAGTGAAAACTGTCTCCCAGGAGTTTCACTGTGTTGGTCTGTTTAACTATAAATAAATTGAACAACAATTTCCTTTGGTAGTTAGGGTTCATTGTAGAGAGGGTGAAACTAGGCTGCTCCTTGGAGGCAAGGATTTTGAAGCTCTATCTGACATACTTTGGACATGTTGCAAGGAGAGACCAGTCCTTGGAGATGGACGTCATGCTTGTAAAGGTGGAGGAACAGTGCAAGAGAGGAAGACCCTCGTGAGATGGATTGACTCAGGGGCTGGAGTAATGAGGGTAGGTGTGTCAGAGACAATAAGATTGGTACAGGAGAGAACAGAGTTTAAGGCTGTTGTACATAGGGTCCCTATGAGTCACAGGAGACTTGACAGCACCTAACAACAACAACAGTTAGAAAAATACAACAAACTAAAACAATTAGGTCTAAAACTTTGATTTGTAAAGCTTTTACAATTTGTGCTCTGATTTAATGTCTATTCATTGCCCACAGAACACTCCTAGATCAGAATATAAATGAACTACAAAGGCAAATAGGAATCTTACTGGATAAAGAGAACCGACTGGAAGTGACCAATTCACAGCAACAACTCAAAATTCAAGAACAAGAAACCTTATTAAAACAACTGGAAGATGTGAAAAGGAAATCTGATGAGGTAAAAAGGGAGATAATGCTTCTCAGTTTTCCAATTGCCTGAGTTCTAGCTAATACCACCCACTTTCATTAAGTCCGTATGACTCTGTGACCCTTCCTCGGCTCTGGTGGCCTAGTGGAAAGAAGCTGTACTGCAGTCCCAAAACCCTATTCAGCCGTACTGAGGGAGAAGGATGCCGTTTCCTCCTGTGTCATTTACTGCCTCTGAAAACCTCTGCAGGGTCAGCTTTGGGTTAGTTCTGACTTGATGGCACACAACAACAACAACAAATATTTACTAGAGGAGACAGCCCATCTTTCTCCTGAGGAGTGGCTTGGTGGATTTGAACTGCTGGCCTTTAGGTTAACAACCCATTACCTTATGTCACAATACACCAGGACTCAGAATGGCTAGTTATTCTTTAATGCCTAGTACTTAGCGCATTATTTCATGGTTCAGTGAGGTAAATTTAAGATGAAATCTACTCTATGTATGTCAAGCAATAAGTAAACAATAACAGGAAGTGAGATGATTGCAAAACAATTTAGAGGACTGGGTGTTTGCTGTGTACAGTCAAGTCGGCACTGAGCCATAGCTGACCTTTCAGGAGCAGTAGATCACATGAGAGGAAATTGCCCATCTTTCTCCTGTGGAGCAGCTGGTGGATTGGCTTTGGTTTGGCAGCTCAATTCCTTGTACATAGGGTTGCTATGAGTCGCAAGCAGCTCAATAGCACATAACAACAACAAACTGCTAGTGCTCTGCTGACCTACAGGTAAGAAACTACTTTGCAATCCCAAAGGCATGCAGTTTGAATCCACTAGCAGCAGTTCTTCAGGAGAAGAATGGACAGTCTCCTCCCATGTGATTAACTGCCTCTGAAAACCCACTGGAAGGTCAGCTACAGTTCGGTTCCAATTGCACGGCAAACAACTAGACACCAGAGCTTCCTAGTGAGCTAGAGGGAGTAGAAAGTCAGAAAAAAACCTGTTGCTGATTTTCATAAAATCTCCTTCAGGCAAAGTGAGATTTTCAGGCACTCTCCCTTAAGTTCCGACAAATATTTCTTCTGCTGATTACCTGTTTGTCTATGCATTAGTGCCAGAGGAGAGTAGTGGCTTTTCCTTCTCCTTTGCTACTCCGAGAGTGGGTGGTGTTCTGCTGCTACGGAATGATTGGACACTTAAGGCCACTCAGGGGAGCCTCAAAAGAAAGCCATTGGCCTGGACTGGGGGAAGGGAGCTTGGCCCAACAGCAACTGAAAGGCATTTACAATGCTTTCCAAATAATGTTCAAGTGGTTCTCATTTTCAGAAGTTCAACTAGTTGCTGTAAGTTGTAGTCAACTCAGTAGTATCTAACAACAAACTAGAATCCTACTGACAAGGGAGCCTGTGTAATTTCTTTTTCACACTTTCAATCTCGCACGATAGAGGAAGGCTTAAAATTTGGGGATCCTGCTGTGTGCCAGCATACTCCACTTTGGATATTCATCATGATCCAAACCTTTTATCCACATTTAACCTTCGAAACAAGAGTTTCCAAAGATTAAACATGTATAAAAGGTCTGAATGATGATGAGTACCCAAAGTTCAGGATAGGGCAGGGCTCAGAGCTTTTGAGGCAGGGTTCAGTTGCTATGTGTCGCAGAAGACTCGACAGTACATAACAACAATAAACAAGAGTAGTTTTCAATTGGGTTTCTGAGGCTGTAAACCACTTAGGAGGAGGTTGCCCTTCTTTCTCCATTGATGTTGCTGATGGATCAAACCACCAGAGGTGTGGCCTTTAGGTTAGCAGAGATGGCCTAAGCACTATGCCACCAGAGGGAGCTCAAATTATCTCAAAGGAACAGCAGACTTATGAATATGGAAAGGACATAAGGCTTTTCCTCCAGAATTGATAGAAAGGAACGTCTTCCCCTAGAGTCGGTACTCTGGATTCATAACGCTGGCCTCCTAAACTTCTGGTGGCTCAGTAAGTAAGGAATTGTGCTGCCAGCCAAAATTCAGGTGGTTCAAATCCATGGCTGCTCCATGCAAGAAAGATGGGCAGTCTCCTCTTGTGTGATTTACTGCCTCTGGAAACCCACTGGATGGTCAGCTATGAGTTGGTTCCAACTTGAGAGTACACAACAGCATCAATACCACTATGAGCTCACTATGACTCATATAATATGGTATTGATTCTTACTACTTTAACCTCAGTCCACACCCATAGACTGTCTTTTAAAAACATAATTTATAAGGTTAATAACAATCATAAAACAACATATTTTGCCAATAAGTTATTAGTATGAGAAAACATTCCCATTTCTATTTCTTGATTCCTTTTCATGTATTCTGGCTATTACAAAAAGAATATAATATGTTACTCATTAGTTGAAATGTGTGCATTATCTGTTAGGACAGTGCTCTAAGGTGTTGCCACCTAGCTGGTATTATAACTGAGTCTTCAAAAGGTTGTTCCATTGCTTTCTAAGGTTAGGTTTCTGGATGAGAGATGCACATGAATCTCATTGTCTTATGCTGGGTTCTCTAGAGACAAAACCAGTGAACTGTATAACTTGATCTGTAGAGCAATTTCTATCAAGGAAATTATTCATTATAATTGTGGAGCTGGCAAACTCCAAATATATCAAGCAGTAGGGTGACATATGGTAGCAGAGGCTATGAACCCCAAATCTGCAGGTCAGATGCAGAGTACTGACTCATGTCCTAGGCACTAAAGGTCAGATGATATGGTGAATATTGGTGCAAATGCAGGCTAGAGCAAGAGCCTCTGGCAGAACATGCGTAGTTATTGGATATAGGCTGCACTCCAAAGGAAATTCCCATTTCAACTGATTGACTACTCAAATCATGCAATTATCTTCCACACCACTGATAATTATTATTTATTCAGTTTAACCCATAATTTCAACAATCACTCATCAATAGGAACCATTACTTTATTTTTCTTACTATAAAATCATCATGACATATAAAATGGAAAAATGAATTTAGAAAAGTTACCAGAAGCCAATCACTGCAAAATCATTACAAACAGAGAAAGCAAACTCATTGCTAAAATTATTGTCTATTCAACTAGGACAAATTGTACTCTCCATGATGAGAGGGATCCTAGATAACAAACCTTAATAGGTTGCTAGCTGTTTCTCCCACAGGACAGTTACTCAGTACTGACCTTTGCTTTTGGCAAGTTGAATGGATTAACCTTACCGATTTCTTGTACAATAGATGCTTCTGCCACCATGCTCTTTATATTTGAGCCCACTGACAAAGCAAACTGATGATAGAAAAAGAGGCTAAGTCACATATACAGAATATATTCATTTGTTTCGACCCGTTTACTGGTGTTAATTGTACTGTGTTGTTGCTTTCTGTTGAGTCAAGCACGACTCATAGTGACCCTGTGAACAAAAGGCCTGAAGCCTTTCTATAACTGTCATCATTTATCAAAGTTCATATAGTTAGTAATTTTAAAAACCCTCCAGAGACACAAATTTCTATACTCTAGGTCTGTGTTGTCAAATACAGTGGTTACTAGCCACATGTGTCTTATTTCAATTTTAAATAAAATTTAACATTAATTTTTTTCAGTGAAAAGGTGCAACCAGGGTGTTCCTTGAAGGAAGGATGGTAAAGCAACCTCTCTCACACTTAGGACATGTTGCTTAGAGAGGCTTTTCCTTGGAAAGGGACATAATGCTTGGAAAGGTGGAGGGTCAGCAAAAGAAAGGAAGATCCCCGATGAAATGGATTGGCATGGTAACTGCAGCAGTGGGTTCAAGTGTGTCAGAAACTGTGAGGACGGCACAGGATAGGACAAGATTCAGATCTGATGTTCACAAGGTCGCTATAAATCATACTCATATCAATAGCATCCAACAACAACAACTAGTAGTAAGGAGCTGTGCTGCAAATGTAAAGGCAGACAGTTTGACACACCAGCTGCTCCATGAGAGAAAGATGGGCAATCCCCTCCTGTCCTATTTACAGCTTCTTAAAACCCACTGGAGGATCAGCTGTGAGTCGGTTCTCAACAACACATAATAGATAAGTTATATTTCAAGAGCTTAACAGACACATATGTCTACTGGAGACCACATTAGAGAGTACAGAGAAAGAATATTTCCCTCTTGTAGGAAATTCTGTGGGACAGCATTTCTATTCTAGGACCCTTTCTCAGACACTTGTCCTGTAGTTTTATTCTTTCTAAATCCTTAGTCATCTGGCCTAACCATTCAGACACTAGACAGTCTCTTAGAAGGTAAAATGTGTCAAGAAAGTCAGTACATGGTGTACAAACCACAAGATGGTTAACCTCCTTGAATAACAGAAGGACTTGCTTATGCTGATGCAGGGCTCTGTAGAATTTGAAGGCACAGGGCACCCAAAGTCTTCAGAACCTTTCCAATGTCCTTACTCCTAATTCTCAAGTTTCTGTGCATTGTTTACCAAACCCCTGTCTTTTTTATAAGAGATGTAGTAAGAGTGTGATTCAACTATAATTCTGAAATATACTTCATAAAATTTGGAATTTGGGCTTTTTTGATACAAATGTTTACTAGCTGAAATAAAGAAGAGGTTCATTTAGGCTACTCATAGAAGCTTCCTGGATCTCTGATTGTGCTTGTTCTGATAATTAAATCCTTATAAGCATATTGGTTATGTTCTCCATTTAAGTGTATTAACAGGGTCAGATGTAACCACCTCAAACCACAGTCCTTACCGTTCTCAACATTATTGTTAGATTCTTTGTACCAGTCACTTGGCCTATCAAGTACTTCACCACAAGCAAATTTATGTAATAATTTTATCATTTATTTTGTCATAGATTACCAGTACTAGTGACAAGATTACACTGTCAACTAACCAGGCAACTAATACAAAATTCTAACATATATATTATATATAGGGTAGTATAGTATATATTATTATACAAGATAGGGATAGAGAGAGAGAGAGATGTTTGGAAGCAGGAGTGGCATCCACTTCCTGAACAACTTGCCTCCAGAAACTCTCTTAATTTTGATAAGTGTCAATAGTTGAAGAGGGGCTTCAGGCCTTTTGTTCAAAGGCAATCAACAACTATATATGTATTTATAGTTATAGTTGTTATAGTTATAGTTTTATAGTTCTAGTTCTAGTTATGGTTATAGTTATAGTTTTATAGTTATAGTTATATAGTTAGTGTTATAGTTATAGTTATAGTCATAATCATATTGGTGCTGTTGCATACCATAGAGTCAGAACCAACTCCAGCAGGTTTTCTGGGAAGTTAATCACAGGGGAGGAGATGGCCCATCCTTCTCCCAATATATATGTAGTATAAGTATATAAGTCTGTCTTGGAGAGGGTGAAACCAACTTT